GTTAAAACATTTTCCTTTACTCTTACCACTCTTAACAGGAGCTGATTTCAACTCCGGCTTCATACTTAGGATATCATTTCTAATGAAAAAAATTAACTCAAGAAATACGTTTTATGACTAGGAGAATAAATTTGACCAACATTGGACTACTTTACCCAATTTGAATTCGGTTTCTCTGAAGGGCATCTGTACGCAAATCATAAACCATTGTAACTTCAAACCCAAAACATTGCCAGAAAATATAATCCAATGGAAGGGTCAGGTTTGCAATGGTAACTAATTTGGAACATCACAGCATTCACACCAAACTTCAAATGATAAGCATCTCAAGAGCTAATTTATTGGACGAGAAAGAGAATACTACCAAATATAACCCGTGGAAAGCAGGGGAAGACACAGTTAGAAGGGAGGCTTTTACAAGGCTTCAGAAAGAAACTATCTCATGGGCTGCAGAATGGGTTAACACACTGGGGGCTAGCCTATGATGAGGGGGAGGGAATAGGCAAAAAGCAGTAAAATATAGATGCTGGACATGCCATTGCAACAAAGAAAAGTGACCCTATCAATCTATAGGCAAGAACCTTTATAGCAAGGTTCAAGTACTTTACCCATCCCTGTCCAGAAAGCTCATGTTCTTCCAACATGAAACATGTATACACATTAGATTGTGTGTGTATATGTGTCATGTGAGTGTGTGCACAGTGTGTCTATCTGTTTGAGAGAAAGAGTGAGTTAGTGGGTAGCCCATGTGGAAAACGGTGCCTGAAACTGATAGGAGAAGGAAGCAATATTTAGAGATGAAACTTATAAGCCATTAGTCATGTTCCACAGACCTCTCAGAAAGAGATGTAAATGCTCAAAAGATTTGTATAGTTAGTCATGGGGCTAAATGCCAGCGACATTTCCCAATGCATGATTATTAGTTTACTTTTACAATAATTTAAGCCCACAAACTAATTGGTATTATCCATTACTCAAGTTTCAGGTTCAATTTTCTGTTAAATTTTCATTCTGCACAGCCTTCAATAGCTCAATTTACAAACATTATTATCAGGAAAAAAAACCCCCCACAAAATTAGACATTTTCACAAAATTCCTGAATAATACAGCTTCACAAAACAAACACGCTTGAAAGAGAGTCACCAGGATGCCCCAGAGTGATGTGCAGCTCAAATTATCCTCAAATTAGCATCTACAGGTAGATTTTAACATTGTGCTCCCAAAGCTCTGAGAACCTGTGCTAAGCTATGAATACAACACCTCCAGGATAGTATGGTGCTGCGCACAAAATTAAATGCAATTAATATTTAATTCAGCATCAGATAGAGTGCTTCCAAATTGTCACAGTGTTTTTACTGGGTCTGAATACAATCACTCCATAAGGAAATAAACCTGTATCTAGAATTGAATGCAATCTCACCAGGGGGATATGATATGAAGCTGTTATCTAGGTCGAAGATATTATTACATTATTAAAAAATCCTGTATTAATGGCCATCCCAGTCACAGAATCTGACAGATCAAGAGTTTTCTGCAACTGGAGTTATACCCGTTGAGTACATGACACAACTGAAACAATCTCCCACACTAAGGCAACAGTGGAGCCAGCAGGCTCTGCACACTCAACAAATCCAATAATTGATCAATCTCAGGTTTCTTTACAGAAACATAATAGATTTTCCTCCACCCAAGGTTCACAATCGAGCAATGGGACAGAAGAGATCACTGTTTTTGTAGCAAATCATTGTTATTGTAATGTGTAACATGTCGCACTTGGTGCTCCCCATAGGGAACTGAACCTTCCCAGGCCATGCATCAAAAACTTGGGCTGTGTGCAATCTTCGGCGAATATTCTGAACAATGAGAGAAAAGGGACAGCATGCAGCTGAATTTCCGAGCTGAAAATTTGGCAAGCAAGCCTCCCAGTCATGAGGGCCAGGTGGAAAATTGCCTATATACCTGGAATTCCCTCCCTGAACCTCTCCATCCCCCTCTCTAAATTCTGTATCTTTGAGCAGTGTTTTGGTCAGCATTTCTGATTTCTCCTGCTATGGATTGGTATCAAAATAATTTTGCTGCAAACAGATTTGTTCAAGTCTTGCACATTTTTTGAATAATCCAGGAGTTGTTGGGGGGGGGGGGCACAAAGCTATTTATTACTTTCTCAATAGCAACACCTCCACCAGAGTCAATTTAAGAACTTTTCTCTCTGCTGTATAAATTGTCGAGATTTGGCATTCTTTATTTTATCCTGATGAGTGCAACACAAAAAGTTTCAGCAACATGTCTCTCCTTTTCACAATGAAGAAGCTCTGTACTAGGCTTCATCTAGCATGTCCTAATGGCACAAGCCTATACATAATTAAGCACCTCCAGACAAGAATAATTCCGCACATGGGTGTATAAAACTTAAAAGAATGTTGATACCTGAACATAAGGTCAATCCTCCCTCTTGTTGGGAAATGAATAAAATCCTTCTCTTTGTGACTAATAAACACACACAGTCCAAAGATTGTGAACATATTTTCTTTAAAGGTACAACTGCATGGCTAACAGTAGAGAAATGCCCATTCAGTTCCCACCAATGACAGAAATACAATTGACAGGAAGAGATTATTACTGATTAGTCCCCACTTACCAGTGAACATGTTGGAGTCAATTAGTTTGGCAAATGATTGATATTTTTAATGTCCTAGACCATTTTTTTTAAAACAAGCAATGAATGTGCTTTGGGTGATTTAGAATTAAGTCAGATTGTAACACGGTGTCAACCAAGAGATTAGCGGCTCTACCATGTTTATAAGGTTTTAAAGGTTGTCAGACTTAGGAAGAACTAGTGGGGTGCCACAGGGATCAGTGCTGGGACCCCAGCTGTTCACAATATATATTAATGATTTGGATGAGGGAACAAAATGTAACATCTGCAAGTTTGCAGATGATACCATGTTGGGTGAGAGGATGAACTGTGATGAGGGTGCAGAGATACTTCAGCATGATCTCTACAGGTTGGGTGAGTGGGCAAATCAATGGCAGATGCAGTATAATTTGGATAAATGTGAGGTTATTCACTTTGGAAGCAACAACCAGGCAGATTACTACCTGAATGGCTGTAAATTGGGAGAGGGGAGTGTGCAGTGGGACCTGGGTGTCCTTGTGCACCAATCGCTAAAGGTAAGCATGCAGGTGCAGCAGGTGGTAAAGAAGGTAAATGGTATGTTGGCCTTCATTGTGAGAGGTTTCGTGTACAGGAGCAGGGATGTGTTGTTGCAGTTACACAGGGCCTTAGTGAGACCACACCTAGCATATTGTGTGCATTTTTGGTCTCCTTTTCTGAGGAAGGATGCTCTTGCTCTCGAGGGAGTGCAGTGAAGGTTAACAAGGCTGAACCCAGGGATGATGGGTCTGACATTTGAGGTGAGACTGACTGGGTTGGGATTGTTTTTGCTACAGTTCAGACGCATGAGTGGGGGATCTCATAGAGACTTATAAAATTCTAACAGGACTGGACAGGGTTGATGCAGGGAGGATGTTCCCGATGGTGGGTGTGGCCAGAACCAGGGGTCACAGTCTGAGGATTTGGGATAGATGATTTTGGACAGAGATGAGCAGACGTTTCTTCACCCAAAGAGTGGTGAGCCTGTGGAATTCATTACCACAGGAAGTAGTTGATGCCAAAACACTGAATCTATTCAAGAGGCAACTAGATATAGTGCTTGGAGAAAATAGGATCAAAGATTATGGGGAGAAAGCAGGATTAGGCTATTGAGTTGGACAATCAGCCATGATCGTGAAGAATGGCGGAGCAGGCTCGAAGGGCTGAATTGCCTCCTCCTGCTCCTAAAATCACCCCTTCCCAATGGTTTGCATTTTTAGCCCTTTATTTTTCTTCCGATTTGGAGAGCAAGCCTCATGGCCTGCACCAGTCCTTCACCAATTCTGCCAGTGTTTAGCTTCAAGTTATGATCAGTACTACCTTAAGATTGCATGTATTTAAAAGTCACAGGAGTAGAGTTTAAATCTTCATTCACTCATTCTCACTGAATGCAGCAAACAACGTGCTGACAGGTTGTCACTACAACCCTAATAGCTTTCATTTGACAACTTTTCAAAACATAGTGCAAAGAAACCAGCCTAAGGTACATTTCTGGATTACCAGCCCTGCAGGTTCACCCAGATATCTCCTAGAATTTAAGATTTAATCTCCAGGGCACTTCTGCTAGCAAACACTGGAAAAATTAATCAGAGGAGATCTTAATCATAATATGCACTTATTATCATTTTCTTTGAACAGTTTACGTTCTGTGAATTCTTACCCTAACAGTACCCTTTTCATCAACCCTTCCACTAATGAATTCATCTGTTCCAAACTATCTAGTCTAACAATACTTCAACGGAGTCAAAAATGACTCATTTATAAATTTATCCCAATTATAACTTAGCATCACAGTTAAAGCAGAACATTCATTTACCAATTCCGGTACAAATAACAAGGCTCTGGATGAATAATCTAATATTTATGACAGGTAACCTTATCCAGAAACACCTGAACTCAGACATGCAGAACCATGCAAAGTCAATGGAGCCCATCCATGAGAAAATACTGATGTATTATAAATTACAGGAAAATGTACTTGAATATTCATTGGTGACTCTGTTGGCACAGATGCATGCCACATCAGGCTGGGCTCTCTCCAATGATTATCCATGTAACTGAGTTTGTAGATATGTTTAGGTTGTAGACATGTTTAGGTTGTAGCCATGCTCGCCAAGCCGGTGGGTTTGGTTGCAAACGTTTCATCACCCTGGTAGGCAACATCATCAGTGTGCCTCCGGTGAAGTATTGGTGATCTGTCCCACTTGTTATTTATATGCCTCTGTTTGCTAATACCAACTACCTCAGCAAACAGAGGCATATAAATAACAAACGGTACAGAACACCGACACTTCACTGGAGGTGCACTGACGATGTTACCTATCAGGGTGACGAAACGTTTGCAACCAAACCCACTGGCTCGGCAAGCATGTCTACAACCTCATCCACAACCCGAGCTACAAATCTTCTCGAAAACTTTGAACCCATGAAGCTGGTTTGTAATTGTGGCCACAAGACAAAGCAAGGGCTGGGCAATATCTCCCATGGGAAGGAAGGGAATCTGGAAAACTAGTCAATGAATGGCCCTATAGTCTGGTGATCAGTCAGAAACAGAGCTCACAGGTTGATGTGAAAACAAATGTTTTTCTAAAGCAGGATAAATCAGCTGCCCAACTAATTAACAAGCATCCCTAGAAAAACAAATTTCAAATATAACTTCTCAGAACCCAACACTATACCAAAAATACTTCAACAAGTGGAGTGAAAGAGTTGGACAACATTCAATACACATGGTTTATAACAGAACTTGCTTTTAAATAATTTTGTTCAGGGAACATCATGAGGTGCATCACAGTCAATGTGGATCAAACATTCTTCAAAGACTCAACAGATTAAAACATTCCAATGAGCATCTTCAAGTGAAGCAGCACAAAATCTTTTACTATTCTGTAAAGGCTGCAACATTTGAATTCTAGCTTTCCATATTCTTTTCCCCGTGCTCCCTCTTCTGTGACTCTCACTAGCCGTGCCCAATAATGAGAAGTTCAAAACACTGCACAAGGTTTTATCTTGTTCATTCCAATTGCTTCACCCAAACATTCAGACCTCAGTTGCACTTGCTTTTCACTCACTTCCATTGTTTCCCACAGGCAGGATCTCTAAAAGTTCCAAAAATGGGAAGGCAGAGTGAGAGAGATATATCTTGGTCACCATTTAAAATGGTATGAGGCAAAATAAGCAAAAAGCATCCCATTTCCAATCACCAGTTTTCTCGTCATTCCTCCGGGTTTGATTCAAAAGTGTGTCCTCTGGTTATTTGACAGACACCTGGGGTGCAGCCACTATATGCTTAAACCTATCTGAATAACTCAACTTGGGTCCATCACTGAGTGACCCTAATGGCATGCATTTCCATTTACTCCTTCTCATTACATTTCAACTATTTGATAACCATGCCCCCATTTCATATTCTTGCAAGGTACTTGGTGATTATAGGTACTTCCATGGCTCCAACCATACTGTCCTTTGGTCAGTCACTAAGTTGTACTGTAGCATAAAACCCAAGATGGAATTCTCTTTGTTCAATGTGGCTAATACTAGCAACTTGGTATTCTTCCTAATCTCAGGGGAGCGTGTCTAGACATGACAGTCAGTTAAACCTAGCAGTAAAACCTCTGATTCCAAGTCTGTGGTGCTGCATTATAAGATGTTGCACCATCAAGAACGAGAATCTTTACGTTTCAATGAACAAGTGGCCCTTACATCCCAGCAAAGGGAATAATGCAATTTAACAAATTAACTAGCAATCAACTACAATATGTTTTTTCTCAGCAAAGATGGCACAGTTTGTGTACTGCTATTCCTTTTGACAGTGGTGCTGCTAATTCTTATACCTCACTAAATATCCTGAATCAGTTGTAACAGATTCCATGCTGTGACTTTACACCAGGTACAATTCCTGTCTGTTACATATATGTAAAAAAAAACTTTCCTCTCATTTTATACTTATTGCATTGGTGTAGTAATGATGATACATTAGAACCAGACCCTATTGGGACTGGTAAAGATACAGTACTGTCAACTTCAGCATACGTTGCATTGAAAAATACAGTAGGGTGTAACTTAGAGGTAGAAGATGTGGTCATGTCCCAGGAAGGAAACTCCAGGCTTTGCCCGATTTCCTGACGGTTCTTGAATGTGTATTTTATTTGGCAAAACTAGCAGGTCTTTATTCTTTTCTTCCAATTATCACTCCTAAGACTGGATGCTTGAGAAATAGGACGTACAGAAGCCTGTTCAGCGTTATGCCAACACAAGATTAAGTGTCGTTGGTGAAGTGATTTAAAGTGGCCTACACTTGTGACTCCCTTATATCGCCCCCCCCACCGCCAAACAAGGTCAGACATTGGAAGCTGTCCTACATTCAGTTATCTGAAGCTCCTTCAGGAACACTTGCCAGGGTTTCCATGTATTGCAAGTGACCCCAGCTTGGGAAGAAAGTTGCGACGTCAGCAAATAGTCACCATTCAAAATCAGAAGTGAATACTCCCTTCTGACAGCAGAGTTAGTTATTTTTGTCCCCACTGCTGCTCACTGTTACCATCAGAACAAATCATTTACAATAATTCGCTCACTCCCACTGGCCCGTCCTAAAGGAGTAGCTGTTTTGATATTAATATCACGCTGAAATAGATTCTACTCCTGAAGAGGTCAGAGACAGGAACGTGACTGCAAGTAGTCCAGGACAGGCACTCTGTTAACCTCGTACAGAACCCATTTGCACATGCATCTTTATACTTGACCTCAGCTGTTCATGTTCATTTAATGTTGTACAGCAGTCTCATTCATTTTCTTTCCAATTTTACATATGCACCAGCTGCAATCTGTTGTATCAAATGCTCCCATCCCCTCTCTCTGACGTATATGGGAATCAGCAGACTTGACAGGTATTAGATGAGGGGACATAACAAATGATTCCTCTGAATTTCCTTGAGATATTTTAAAATGATTTATAATAAAATATTAAATTTTCCTTAAGTCTCCCAAATTAATGTATCAATCTCTGAATAGTTTCTTTCCTCCGAGTATGTTGGATGAAAGGGTGGTCTATGATTTTAAACTGTTTCATTTGAGAGATGTGTACCACATTTTTTAATTCACTCTCTTACCAAGTGTTTAACCGGATAGTCGGTATAAACACAAATGACATATTGGTTAAAAAGAGGGGAGTTTCAATGGATTCTATCCAAAGCAAGATCCTAAACAATGAGGTCTAGATTTGTAGATATATTTCATGTGTTTTCTGCAAGTCTCCTCAAAGTGTGCTGTAATATTCATGCATACAGTCTTTAAAAACAAAGCAACATTGCGAAAAATAAACAGGTTTATTCCTAACAAATGTAGCCCTTTTACCAGCGCTAAATTCCGTTATTTTAATACTAATGCTGGGGAGGTAAGAGTTTTCTCGGTCACCTTGCGCAGTAGTATTGCAAACATTTTAGCTAGCAATCCCAAACAAGTGAACTTTACACACCAATTAGAGAATTTCATACCTCATCATTTTAATTCCTTTTCCTCCTGTTTTTTTTTTTAAATGGTGAAAAGGTGGATAAATGATCCGTTGACAAATTCTTGCTTAAACTATGAGCAGCTACAAGGAGATATACAAGACTCCTTCTTTACTACTTCCTGTCTGAGTCCTCCTCAAAGACCTACCTGTTTGAGAGCCTGGCCATGATGTTTTTGATTCAATCAATGTGATTGCACATCTGTCTCCCCATTACATGATTGAAGGAAGTGAACAAATGGGTCATATTCAACTGGAATATTAGCAAAACTGAACAGCCAAAGACAATACTTAAGGGAGAAACAAAATTAATTGGATTCTCTACCACAGTTTTTGATTTTCCATAGCTCAGGCTGGCTCATGTGAAAGAGTTAAACAGGATACTGAAAGCATTAGCAAATTCCTCATCAGTTTAAATTGCTGGGTGGGTTATGTTCCTCACAGCACACATGTCCACACGGTAATAGGGCACTTTAAACTGTGGTTTATATGTTGCACAGCCCCTTTCACCGTAAGCTGCAGGTATCGGTTTTAATATTTGTATCCTGCTGGTAAATGATCATTCTGGCTGAGCGTCCGATTGGTGTTTTTGCAGTGGGTGGGATTGTGATTCGACATTACAAAGGCCCCGGTAGCTCCATATCCATCGATGTTTACCATAACAATCAAATGGTTCTTCATTTCAGTCCATCCTGTTCCACTATAATCTAGTATTTCTTAAAAAAAGGAAAAAAAAACACGAACTGGCCCAGTAATTACAACAGAAACATTTACATAATCAAATATGTTCTGGCTTATTGAGTGGGCCTGTTAATTAATATAGTATATCATTAGGCACGCAACAACCAATAAGGACATCATTTGACAGTGAGCTAAGGAATTATGCTGCCTACATGAATCAAACAGCAGCCCAAATGGAATACAGTTCAATGCCTGAAGTTGGCCTCTTCTATCAAAAAATATTGTCATACATATAGTTAAAAACTAGGCTCAGCCCTCTACCAGTTGCTCTCAACCATTGTGAGTCAGGGTTAGGACTATCGCAAGGTCTGGATAGAAAAATCTAGACATCTATAAATTTGATGAATTAAACAGAGAATTAAAGATAAAAACATGAATACACCCAAACCCTGAACTTACAATGGTGATGGATGGGTATCTCTTGAATTTTTTTCCATTTAATTGTGCCTTATTCATTACAGAAGTTATTAAAAAGCAGATGAAGAGATGCCACCAACTTCATCTGTGAAGAATAATAGTCCTTTTGCTTAATCACTGAAAACAGCTCCTTCAGCAGAAAAAGGTGTCAGGATCTGTAGGAAAAGAGCAACCAAAAATGTGGTTAAATGTTAAGCCAAATTATGATATAATTCACTTCATATATATTTAAACAGAGATAATAGCAGACAAAGAGAATAACTTCATTTTTGAGGATTTAATTATGCTGGTTGAAAGACAGACTTCACAAATTATTAGTTTTCTCCTGTTATGCAAAGAAATTGCATAACACTGAACTGCATCTCCTCACTTGGCCTGTTTGAAGATGTTATATTGGTTACCTGGGAAACAGGGTAGGCCTCCAGCAGGAGCTGGGGGAGACACAAAGAATGGCAACTGAATATTATTATTTGAGTAGTTAAATTTAACAGATTTTTCTTTCAGAAACTCACGGCCCATGGTAAACACCGCCAGTACGACTGGAAAAGTATATAATTGATAACCAACCTGTGGTTAGCCTACATCAAGCATCGGTTATAAATGCCTGTAGAATAGTGAAAGACTAAGACAGACCCAGGGAGCTATAGAATATGCCCAGTTTTGAGGTATCAATAAACAATGATTGTCTGCAACATCCAACACTTGATGATGATACAATAAACATTTGGGAAAGCTAGTGAAAAGAAATCACGTCCTCTCGAAATGAAGAAAAGTCACAGGGTGGAACTTGAAGATAGTCAGAACCGCAGATGCTGGAGTCAGAGATAACACAGTGTGGAGCTGGAGGAACACTTTCTGCTCCTGGTATTGATGAGTCTGAGAGGTAGGGAAGGCAGGCGCTGGAATACCGAAACCCTCCCGCCTCCAGCCAGAATTAGGCATCCCAGGGCTGACCTTCCTGTCCCCTCGCCAACTGAGGGCATCAGCAGCCAATTGAACATCATGTAATAGCTTTAGGTTGTCTCTACTGGGATTGACACTGGGCTTGTCACTGTGTGCCATTCACAACAGCTGCCAACCTGTGGGCAGCTCATCATCTTCATGGGTTGGGGAGGCATGTGGGGCTCCGCCGATCAAAGTGCCTGATGAGTGACTAAATTTGCTGACAGTGCAAAGATGGTCAGCAAAGTGAGTTGTGAAGGGTACATAAGGAGCCTGCAAAGGAATACGGAAAGTTAAGTGAAATGGACAAAGATTAGGCAAATGGAGTACAATGTGGGAAAGTGGGTAATTGTCCATTTTAGCAGAAAGAAGAGAAAAGCAGCATATTATCTAAATGGTGAGAGATGCAGAGAGGTCTGGGTGTCCTAATGCATGAATCACAGAATATTGGCATGCAGGAACAGCAAATAGTCAGGAACGCTAATAGAATGTTATGGTCTATGGCATGGGGAATTCACTGCAAGAGTAGGGAGGTTATTGCTTCAGTTATATAGGGCATTGGTGAGATCACATCTGGACTGCTGTGTACAATACTGGTCACTGTACTTAGGGAAGGATGTTAACGCGCTGGAAGCAGTTCTGAGAAGGTCTACTAGACTAATACTTGGAATGATCAGATTGCCTTATGTGGAAAGGCTAGGAGTTTAGAAGAGTCAGTGGTAACTTAATTGAAACATATAACATCCTGAGGGGATTTGACTGGAATGATGTCAAAAGGATATTTTCTCTTGTGGAAGAAACTAGAACTAGAGGTCTTAGCTTAAAAATAAGGGATTGCTCATTTAAGACAGCGATGAGGAAACACTTTATTTCCTCCAAGAGAGTTTGTGACTTTTTGCAGTTTGCTTCTTCAAAAGGCAGTGGATGCAGATTTTTTTAAACGCATTTTTAAGCAGAGGAAGCTAGATTCTTGATTACCAAGGGGATGAAATATTGTCGGGGATATGCACGAATGTAGAGTTGAGGTTAAAATCAGATCAGCCATGATCTTATTGAATAGTAGACGAGGCACAAAGGGCCCAGTGGCCTACTCTTGTTCATTGTTCACACGTTTGTAACCACAATAGCCGCAGTAAATACCTCCCATCTGCATTCAACTAAATATAAATAACATACCATTCGCAACTCCTTCACCCAATAACGTGGGTGATTTGCTGAAACTGTTGTGACAGCTAATTGTTTTCCATATTAACACAAGAGCTTTTGATGTCCAGAGATCTGTATAGTGATTGGCCCTTTATCCCACTCCCCATTTCTGTCCAGAAGTTGACATCGAAACAGATCCTCTTTTTTAAAGCTTACCAGGACTGCCGATCCTCATTTTCTTCATCTTCTTCCTGTAGGGGCTGTTTCCTGAACTGGATATCTTCATCTGAAAGAGAAACAGCAATATATAGCATTGCAGAGCAGCCTTGAGGGGACAAATATGTTACTCCTGCTCCTATTTCTCATGTTCTTATAAACGAGTGAAATTATTCATGAATAGACTGGCAGCCAAGTCCTGTAGGAAACATTCAAATAGAAGCAAAATACAGCAGATGCTGGAAATCTGAAACAAACACAGAACAATGCTGAGAAACTCAGTGGGTCTGGTAGCAGCAGCTCTGGAGATAGAAACAGTTAATGTTTCAAGTCCAGTTTGATTCTTCTTCAGAAGATCTAAAGAAGAATCATACCGGACTTGTAACTTTAACTCTATTTCTCGCTCCACGCACACTGCCAGACCTGCTGAGTTTCTCCAGTATTTTCTGTGCTTGTTCCTGCCGAAGCCATATCTCACTCAATACCCCACCTTCCTGAGCTCCCATTCTAACTTTAAAGATGAAAATGTTGCCAAAATTTACATTTTAATCTGCTTAAACCACAGTTAAGCCAAACTGTTCCTCTTCCTACCTCTGCTTCTAATTTTAAACTCTCATCAATTATTTTTGATGGCAACATGGTCCTCGCGTGTTTCCAAGCCCAAAGCAAGCAGGTTTCTTGCCTGCTGAAAGTCTGCACCATAACACATCCCCTTGCTGCAGGCCAAAAATCAGAGCAAATCTATATCCTGCTGTTAGCTGAGAGGTAAAAACAGCTTCCACATGCATCATACCCAACAACAGAGGGCTACATTGGATAGACCCCCTGCAGATCTCCTTGACAATTCTATGCCCTCCAGACATATGAAAAGGTTACAACATGCAGATATCCTTACCACAAGAATTCCCTTCTACATCATCGAGGAGGTTAGCTGTTGAGGCTGCAGTTCCGAGACTGTGTAGCCGGAGGAGTGAAGGAAAAACGTTAAAATAGTGTAATTCACTGACATCTATGTAACGGTTATTAATTACTCCTGTACAACAGCAGCTGGGTCTCTATCCAGCTCACTGCACTGTAAAATATAAACACTCTTTATAAAGTTTATTGCACAGGGTTGTTTCTTACTCCTGCAGACGAACAGGGTCTGACACAGTATGCTTCTTACCAGCTTCCCACTGATGTTGCGTGCCCGAATGCAGATATTTTTAATCAACTTGTTCAGACAAATTACAACACACCTCCAGGGCAGGTAGGACTTGGACCTGGGCTCCTGGCTCAGAGGTAGGACATTACCACTGCACTGCAAGAGCTCTACATGTGTCTGAATATGTACTGCTTCCTCAAAGTTGGTCCCACCTATGTTGTAATTGATGGCTCATTCTCCTGACTTCTGCTCCCCTAGCGACATGGATTTCTGAAGATTAAAGGCTAAACTGGGGCTAAAAGCAGATGATGTTATTGCTGCTTGTGCTAGGGAGGAGGTGAGTCAAAATTTTAATTGGCATGGTCTGAGTGGATCTGGTGAAGAATGTTTAAATCATTAGCGTGCCAGATCCGTTCAAGCATGTGTGACACTTTGACTTGAGGCAACAAAGACTGAGCCCAGAACCAGGGGCCTTAGGGGAGGAGAGAAGAGACAGAGAAACAAAGAGAAGGCAATAGTGGAGGTTAGGGAGTGGTTAAGGAAACTGACAGCTGCAGGAGCATCATGGGGGACAGAAGGCCAAAGGACAACTTGATACTTCAGGCCCAGTAGGATAACAACTCATCTGATCCTCAAAGCAAGGGAGCAGAGGATTAACAAATCAACCGATGCCTAAATGAACCTCAAATGAGCTTGAGAGTGGGTCCAACTTCTCCGCGGACTGGGTACGGCCACAGTATTCCTGGACTGGTATAAGGTTTGTCCATTTACATCTGAAATCAGCCACAACACATACAGATTTCTATGCACCTATTATGGCTCCATTCTCAGTCTTCCTTCATCTAATGAACATATTCATGTTTCTGTCCTTAGATGAATCACACACAGCTTCAAAGCTCACGTGCCCCCTTAATTGCCAAAATACTCATTCCTCATCAGAAATCTATATCTGCCTTATAAACACAATCTGTTCAACACTAGAATACTGCACTCATATCTGGCAAGAGTCCACCAACACCTTCCTCTAAACAAGGAAAAGCTGGTTGTCTGGCACTTAATCTACAATCTCCAACTGTTGCAACTTTGCTTGTTTCTCTCTATGTATTCTATGCTATGATGCTGATTGCTGCTCTGAATTTTCTCCTGATTACCCTGTCTAATAAACCATCCTTCTCCTCTTCATTACACCTCACTGAAATCGAGACAGATTAAAATCTTCTGTTCCAGCTCAGTCAATTCCAGATCTTGGTTTTCTTCAATCTTCATTTTTGACGAACCTCAGGCTAATGTACTTACCCTGTCTTTTACTCTGCTCACCCAAGAATTGCATTAGTATTCAAAGGGAATAAAGATTTACCAGGATCTGGGGAAAAAGTAAGAACTGTGGGATTAGCAGGAAAGTAAGTTGTGCAGAAGACTAAGAAAGCTACAAAGGGATATAGACAGGTGGGCAAAGAGAGTGTGTAAAGGTCTAGGAAAAGGAGTATAACGTGGGAAAACATAAAATCGTACAATTTAGCAAGTAGAATAAAGAAGTATATTATCCTAATGGTGTAGAACGGTAATGATTGTAGAACTCTGAGATGCAGAGATTTGGGTGTCCTGGAAAATGAATCACAAATGCAGGTATGGCAAGTGATGAGGAATAGATAATAGAATATTCCTGTTTATTGCAAGGAGAAATAAAGCATAATTGGGGAGGTTACGTTTCAGTTATATAGGGCATTGGTTGAGACCACATCTGAAGTATTATGTACCATTTTGGTCTCCTTATTTAAAGAAGGATGTGAATATTTTGGAAGCAGCATTCCTTTCTTTTGTTTCTTCTGTGTGGACCTACAAGGTTCCAGCATGGTAGACACTTCTGGAACTGCAAGTCAATGCTGGGAACAGCACTGGCTGCGGACTCTTGAAATTTTGTTTGGGAGCAGTCCAAGGAGGATTCGTTGGAGTGATATCCGGAAAGGGCGAGTTGTCTTATGAGTAAAGTCTGGGCAGATTAGATTTGTGTCTGATGGAGTTGAGAACAGTAAGAGGCGATTTGATTGAAACACGCATGATCCTGAGGGGTCTTGACAGGCTGGATGTGGAAAGGATGTTTCCTTTAGTAGGAGAATCTAGAACTAGGGGTTTTAAAAGGAAGAAGGTGCCATTTAAGACCGAGATGAGGGATGTTTTCTCACAGCAGGTTATGAGTCTTTGGAATTCTCTCCACAAAGGCAGTGGAAGCACAGTCTTTGAATATTTTTAGGTTAGAGGTAGGTAGATTCTTGAGAAGCTAGGAGGTGAAAGGTTACCAGAATGTGGAGTAATCAAATCAGTCATGAACTTACTGAATGGCACAGCAGGGTCAAGTGGCCAAATAGTCTCTTCCTGCTCCTAATTCGTACGTTTGTATTAATCGAATAACTCACCCAAAGAACTTGTACTGGCAAAATGTGGCCTCCAATGCCATATGATCCCTGCTGTTGTCCTACACTGTGGGCTTCGGGCTGAATGTTTAGTTTTCCAATAAGGAAAACGTACAGTCAAATAGGAATCCTGATTTTCCACGGCACATCTATCAGTTACAAGGCTGCTGACTAAGACTGGGCCTTGATCCATCATTCTTTACCATCGCAAAGAACGATTAAGGATACGTGTGGTGCTTTAAGGAATGCTTTCGCTTCAACTTCCTCATTTTTGTCTTCTCGGAGAACACTCGGGCCAGCTCGAAAAGTTTCTTCCTTGTCGCTGAAAAATAAAGGCAGTGGGTCAGGCCCCTCCTGAGTTTGAGATCATTATGGGTGAGCCGTTATGCTTATAATTATGTCACCAGACAACCACAGCTCTTTATTCTCATCCACAAACAATAATAGCACTTTTAGACTGCAGTAAATATACAATTGACAGCTAGAAATGACAGATTCCAAAACAGACTGTTCTAAAACTGTAAGAAAAATATAACTCGTTTTTTTTAAAACTGTATGAATGAATCCTACGCAAGGAAGACTTGTGGTAGCACCCCTACATTTGGGTCAGAAGGGGCAAGGTCCCACGCAACTTGATCGGCTACAGAAAGAGCTGCTGTGATGCAGTTCAAAGGGCTGAGAATCAGTAATAATCTTCCCACCATGTCCACACTATTCCTCAAAAAGGTAAAAAGTGTGCATGTGAAGATACGCTTAAAAAAAACCCCTAGGTCTTCCACTTTGGCAGATTTAGTTTCACTGTAAAGACCCATGAAAAGTTTATGAATGGCTAAATATGATGTAATGGGGTTTTTAAACAGGGTACTGGGTCCAAAATGTTGGCTGAGCAACGGTCTCTGGCCTAGAAAATGTGTCGAACATTTGTCCAGTGGTAATACGATAAAATAAATTCCCCTGAAAACACTCTTTGGAAAGATTTTTTGAAAATGATATTTCAGCTTCTACCTTAATCCAATATGTTTTACCCAATCTTTATCTCACTCTGAGTAAAACACGAAGGATTATTAGTGCCTTTTACTTCTTGGTTTGCCATGCGAGAGAACACTTCAATGTGACTGCTTTCTCAGTCTGCTTGGTGGCATTATTGCCGCTGCATGCTATCAGTTGTTTCCAGCATCAACTCAAGGCAGAGTAAAATTGGGAAGGGAAATCCACACCAGAGAGACTGCCTGATCTTTTATCGAGGTCATTGGCGAGTACCGTCAGTTTTCCACTGATCACAAAAAATCCCAGTGCGAAAATTGGGAAGGTGGGTGAGGTCATGGACCTGGAGAGCACCTGAAATGACAGGCATACAGATACAAAAGAAACATTGGAAATCTTGCATTTTATGGTTCTGCTGCTGGCAGCAACTTGGCCTCAACACTTTTCGTTTGGCCGCACTGACCCACAACAACAAAAAAGAAACTGTGTGCACTTAAAGGGCCTTGCAGTTGATCCAATGTCCATCAAATTGGAGCCTCCACTCTGCAGTCCCCAGTGCTGCCTTCAAATTTGAACTCTGATCGCTTGTCGTGTGACCTCACTGTGTCCAGCTGTAATTTTTACACTTTATAATCTCTCGTTCTGGATTTCCCAACCATCAGAATAGGGTCAATTGGGAGAAACTATCTGTTCCCCTTAATATCTTGATAACTTTGATCAAATCACCTTGTAGTGATTGGAATGAGGTTATCCAGGGAGATCTCATAGAATATGAGTTCCCTGATTGGAGCTGTTATTCTGGTTCAATCAGGGAGTCCTGGCTGACAGATTTAAACAGGAGTGCCAGGGGTTCTGTTCACTGAGTTGGCTGGGTCAGTGTCATGTACGTGTAAATAAAGAATGACTTGGCGATGGGATACTGGCCTCTTAACCTTTAAAGGAATACAACCCTAGCTTGTGTCCAGGTATCATGTTGAAAACAACACTTTTGTCAATGTAAGGGGAAGGTGAACAAGTACTTGAGGGAAAAAAGGAGTATGTTGATACAGTCAGATACACTGTGGTAGGAAATGGTGTGGAACGTGTTGCTGGATTGGAATGCCACGCATAGGCTAATGGGACCAAAAGGTCAGTTTCTGTGCTAGGTAAAATACTAAGTAATGATTTTAGATGGACTCACATTTTCCCATGTGTTTCAGTTTGTCCCTGAACATCGCATCATCAAATACTAGACTGCTTGCTTCAGCAACACCAGAGGCACCAGGTTCAACTGCAGCAAATGGGAGACAAAAGGGTTAAGGTTTTGCATCCAGATATTTTCTCATCACATCCTTTTGGCTTTTCATCAGAACACAGCCATCCATGTCACCAGCACACAATCCACTGCAGACATTAAATCATTCTGTAATGACTGGTCTTGACTGTAATTTAAGACTTATTTTTGTTAATTCAAGGGACATCAGCATCATTGGCTAGGCCAGCATTTACTGCCCATCCTGATTTATATTTGAAAAGGTGGTGGGGAGCAACCTTCTTGAATTATTGTACTCGGTGCGGTGTATGTACCCCCACAGTGCTATTAGGACTATCAGGATTTTGACCTAGTCACACTGAAGAAATGGCAATGTAGATCCAATTGTGAGTGTGCAGGTGATGGTATTCCCAAATGCCAAATGACCACAACCTTCACACAGTACAGATCACAAGCTTGGAAGGTACTGCTGAAGGAGCTTTATGTGAATTGATACTATGCACCAGTGGTGAAGCGAGTGCAACTTTTAAGTTGGTGGATGGGTTCCGGTTATTAGGTCACAAGACATGGGAGTAGAAATAGGCCATTCAGCCCATCGAGCCCACTCTACCATTCATGGTTGATCTGATCATTCTCAACTCCTCTTTCCTGCATTATTCCCATAACCCCCAATTCTCCTAATGATCAGAAGTCTGTCTATCTCAGCCATGAATACGGTTAACAACCCAGTCTTGACAGCCATCTTTCGTAAAGAATTCCACAGATTCAGCACCGTCAGAGAGAAAAAAATTCTCATCTCTTTCTTAAATGGGTGACTCCTTATTCCGAGGTTATGGCCTCTTGTCTTACGACTCCCCCACAAGGGGAAACAACCTCTCTACATCTACCCTGTCAACCCCCTTAAGAATCTTACGTGTTTCTATAAGGTCTCCTCTCATTCTTCTAAACTCCAATGAGTACAAGCCAAACATCTTCTGCCTCTTTGCAAGAAAATCCCTCCACACTTTGGATCAACACCGTAAATCTTCTCTGGACTGCCTCCAAAGTCAGTATATCTTTCCTTTGATAAGATCATTGTATTCTACCTGTGATGGTCAAGCTTCTGAAGCTGCACAAATCCAGGCACCACACTTCTGATTTGTAATTAGTTTTGTTTTGTTAGATTAGTCTGCAAGGCTAAAGCAAAACAAACTGAAAAGTAAGATTTTGTAACCTGGAATTTGTCATTAATTCTGCCCAATTCACCTTTAATTATTTCATTCAGTAAAATTATTGCAAAATTATATACCATTACAATAAAGCAAAGACAGCAACCAATTTGCACACTTCAAACTCCCAGAAAAAATTTGAACAAAACTCCTATCAAATCAACTGTTGGATGTCCAAAGGAAAATGTCTTCCAAGCCAGGCCCTGTTATCTTAACTCTCAAATGGCCAAGCTTGTAGAGGAGGACAAAGGCACTCTTAGGCTTTCCTTGGTGTGCCAGCATTGACACTTTAAGACTGGTAGGAGCTTGTACCAAGTGTTTGAAGTGGCAGCAGTGTGTCTGTCAAACTGCCTAAAGTCAGGGAGAGTAGGAATTGTCCTCACCACCATTTGGTTTAGAGGAGAGTGTTAACCACTGAGCTACAGCTAATGTTCAGACAACTGAGTCAAGAGACTTTCAACTGTGGTTCATAGTCCCTTGAAAATGGAGCCCCAGGTAGACAGGATAGTGAAGGTAGCGTTTGGTATGCTTCCATTTATTGGTCTGTATATTGAGTACAGGAGCTGGGAGGTCATGTTGCAGTTGTACTGGACTTTGGTTAGGCCACTATAGGAATACTGCATTCAATTCTGGTCTGCCTGCTATACGAAGGATGTTGCCAAACTTGAAAGGGTTCAGAAAAGATTCACAAAGATGTTGCCAGGGTTGGAGGGATTGAGCTATAGGGAGAGGCTGAATAGGCTGAGGCTATTTTCCCTGGAGCGTTGGAGGCTGAATGCTGACCTTATACAGTTTATAAAGTCATGAGGGGCATGGATAGGGTAAATAGAAAAGGTCTTTTCCCCAGGGTGGGGGAGTCCACAACTAGAGGGCATAGGTTTAAGGTGAGAGGGGCAAGATATGAAAGGGACCTAAGGGAGAAGGTTTTCATGCAGGGGGTGGTGCGTGTATGGAACGAGCTGCCAGAGGAAATGATGGAAGCTGGTACAATTCCAACATCTAAAAGGGTGGGTATTTGAATAGGAAGGGTTGAGAGGGATATGGGCCAAATGCTGGCAAATGGGACTAGATTTATTTAGAATATCTGGTTGGCACAGGCGAGTTGGACCAAAGGGTCTGTTTCTGTGCTGTATCTCTCTTTGACTCTCTGCATGACAACCTCATTTGGAACTGGAAGAGGTGAAGGTACCTCTAAAAATGGGCAGTCAGGGTTTAAGTCTTGAGCTCCTTCTTCCCTGAAGACAAGCTGGCCCACAAACTTGTTCTGCCAAGGCCATGGCTCATTGTGGAATACACTTAGGTGAGTACCACTTGCTCCCTAGCATCTCCCCTAAAGTTATCCATTCTTCCTAAGACAGAAAAACTGGTTTTCAATCAGAATGGAACCCAATGCAGTTCTTAATTGATGACCAAGATTTATATTATCCTCCGGGTGGTGGCAGGTGGCACTGCCATCAATTGTGATGCCCCTCAGTTCCAGGGCGAGATCAGCTATCTCGGCACAAACCAGGCTGCAAGCAATCCTACGGCTCTGCAGGTCTGCACGGCTCAGTGTCACTTCTCCTTAACCAGATCTGCAGACGCCTGTGTCACAGACAGTCATTAATCCACGTTTCACGGCAGCGGTTATCTTGTAAATGGTCACCAACACTGAACCAAGTGGCTCATCAACATGCAATTGGGCAGAAGAGTGATACAACAATAAGGCTGTATGGATCTCTCTAGGCAGCCAGAAGTAAATCACTAAACTCTAACAGCAGCTAATAATAAACCAAATGAATTACGCTGATTGGAAATTAATGGTTTATTTACCTGGAACTGCTGAGGGAAAACTGATGCTGCCAGAGGACAGAGATTCATTCGCACTGTTGGCCTTTGATTTTTTTGACTCATACTTTAGCCGATCTGGAGGAAAAGGAGATAAGGTATAATGTACTCAGTACTCAAGCTGGCTTTAATTGCAATTAATCCCGCAGGTAAATCTGGAATTTAACAAAAAACTGTTTCAAATCTGCCATGGATCCTATATCAAATGCTGTATCCAGCTGGTAGCCAATATAGGCTGGATTTCGACACATATCCATCCATGTATAAAGGGATAACAGCATTGTGGGAATGTTACAATTAATGCAAAGTCGTGGACTAATGCAAGTTCAAATTCCAAACGTGGGAGTTTGAAGTCAATTCAGTAATAAATCTGGAACAAAATGCTTGTATCATTAAATTAACCATGAGACAACTAATTAATGTGAAATTCCATCTGGTGTACTTTAGGAAAGGAAATGTTCCATTCTTATTCCTCAAGAGACTCGAGACTCATGACTTACGACAATGTGGTTGGCTCTTAACTGCCCTTCGAAATGGCCTAACAACTCACTCATTTCAAGGACAATTAGAGATGAGCAACAAACTTTGTCCTGCTCAGCAATGTTCATTGTTCCAAAAATAAATACAAAAAAAAGGTCAGAAAGTGTCCTAGCCTTAGATTATGGTTTGAGCCAAGTGGGTTGACATCCATATAAAGTAGAAAGGATCACCCCAGCTCATCCAACCCAAACTCAACAGTCCCTACAACATAACAGTCAAGAGGGCTGTGGATTCCATGACCATTCCACAAGCTGATCAATTGTGAAGGATAGCTTGAACCTGCGTTTCTTTGTCTTGCTATAATGGCTTTGCTAGGCCATCACAAATGGGCTCCGTGACCGAAGGCCCGGGGGTGGGGATTAGCGACACTACCAGTCCTGACCACCAAACAATGATAGTGAGGGCCAGACTAGGCGTGGCTCTTGGCCACTCCATGTTCAATAAACCTTGCTGACACTCAATATCCACGAGTGGCAAGTCAACAGAGAGTTACCATTAACCTGTGTCTACGGAACCCAGCTTCCAGTAAATGAGGGAAAGAGAAAGATAAGGATGGTCAGAGGGTTTAGCCTCTCATACACAGAGATAAAATATTATACTGATACAGGGTCATATTGGTACTAAACCAACATCTTGAATATAGTTTCAGAGATAGTAGGAACTGCAGATGCTGTGTTCATCCAGCTGTACACCTTGTTATCTCAGATTCTCCA